AAACGAGTCATATGTCGCACTCGTCGTTTCACAAATTTTTTCATGCCACGAACTATCATTGAATGGAACCATTTACCATCTCACGTAGCTACTGAAAAAAGAACACCATGAAATTTCAAGATCTTTTACGCACTAAGCGTACTACCTAAATGTTGTGTACTACGTGTTTTTAACAGCGTATTCCTTTTCTTAGTTTTTGTGTGCTTTCTTGAAGATTTCGTGCATTATATGTACCCTGTTTGAGAAAGCGTTCTGTGACTGCCTTTTATGCTTGCACTTCAAGTTTTTTATCACTAGTATCTAGCCACTACCGTTCCTAATTTGGAAGTATGTTGTTGTTTTCTTGCCTAATGTACACTACCAATTGTCAGGATTGTACTTTTTTGCCATTACTTTTGTTCCGTTGTTTTTCAAACCTATTGTTATATGGCTCCTACGTAATACCCTCGTCGAGAGCTCTTAGGGGTATTTTGAAATAAATAAAAATTTGACAATACAACCTAAACCAAGGCTGGTGGAAACTGGCTTAAAATTATTCTTCCACACTTTATACGTGTGGTGGAACATCACAAACAATTTTTATGTAGAATAAATATTTTCTGACTCCTACCAGCAGCTGGAATTGGTTCACTCCTTGCCTTATGATGCACTATTTTGCGTTGTTAGGCTGACCATGGATGTGACTGCTGGTACGTGTGTCTCGCTCCCGACTAGGGGCTGCTGTCTGCTTCTGTGTCTATTTGCCAAAAATTTGGTTACTGCTCCGGGACGCCAAAAAAGAGGAATGCAGCCTTGAGGGCGGCGCCCGTCTGTTCTTTGGCAGTTGGAGGGTTTTCGCGAGTATTTTTTGTGTGCTTCAGCAACCCGCAACGTCAGCGCAGCAATCGCGTAGAGGTCACCGATCGGTTTGCAAAGCAGGTGCACGCAACTTGTCGGTTAACAGGATTCGTCAGGGTGGGGGTGCAGCGGCTTGATGTCGACAGGGCTCCGACAGCGTGGACACTAAGGCTGACAATGCCGTGATTGAGCGAGACTGTAAAATGTAGGGAGAGAGCTGGCGCGTGGACAGGTGAGTCATCCAGGACGCTAAGCCAGCCTAAGCTTGCAAAGTCAAAAGTTTGAAACACTGCCAGGTGGTTTTTAAAGACGGTAGTATTTTGGGGGGACCTTCGACGCAAAAATTTTGGTCTGTCTGTCTGTGTGTCCGTCTGTACATTTGTCTGTTTGTCCATGCTTAACGGCTCTGGGTATTCGAAACAGCACTAGCAGATACCCCAAACGGCCAACGCCATCCGCTGCGCCCACCAATGTTGCTCAGGAATCAGCGGTCTTACTTGTGCGATTGTCAATTAAAAATCAATTATTGCGCTTATTTGAGGCCCCATAACAATACGTACACATTCTGAATGTGTCATATATACACATTCTGTATGTATGAGCCACCATAGCAACACGTACACATTATGTACGTCTTTTACTAGAAAATGCATAGAGAAGTAATTCTAAAGGTCGTAGCATTTATCACGCTGCGCTCACCATGCAATGCTTGCACGAAAAGGCTAAATTTTCCGACGCTTTGCAAAGACGACACGGGGGTGGCAATTACCCGTCACCTTGCGTTCTACACCTTATCAACTCTCAGACGGGCGCGCATGCCTATCTATAAGCTGCGCGTTTTGTTTTTCTACAAAACTGCCAGTTAGCGGTCATGTCTCACATGTGACGTGACTTGATGCGCTCATTCGCCTCCGCTGCACGCTCGAGGCATCCTAATGCAGTGCCTCCAGAATACCATTCACCAATTTTCATGCACAAAACATCAAAAACATTTTGTTCACTCTCTCCACAAGCAAGATTATTGTCTTTCGACGACATTTGGAGATTAACATGCAGATACAGGGCCATATTAATAAGAAAAATGAACATTCAAAAAGCTAATAAAGGAATGCCTGGTGAGTGACGAGTCATGGTGAAGTTGAGTGCTGATAGAGTGTCAGGTGGTATTCTACAGTGTTGAACAAGTGCAAAAGAGCTGGCTACTTAGAATTGCGCGGCAGCCTAGCATGCAATGACAAAATTCTGTTGTAATGCAGATGCTCAACGAATGCAGAAGCCCAATCGTATATTCTCTTAAAATGCGTGATGAAGGAATCATTTCAAAGGTAGAGGTGTGCGGTGTGGCATCACTGGCGACCGGCTGCCGGTAACGCACTCCATCACCAGAGAAGGATTCGCTAACCTGGTGCAGTACCTGGCCGCAATCTCCCATGACTACAGCGATTATACCTTGGCCCTCAGTTCCCAGCGGCTGAGAAGCAACTGTCAAGGAGGTGCTCGGAGCAGTGACACAGTGGATGACGTTGAAAGTTTCTGGGTCCAGGCAGGCCACCATTACAATTTGAGCCTGGCTACCTTCAAAGCTAGAACGCTATCTAGTGAGGCTAGTTTAGCTGTTTAGATTGAGGACTTAGACGGTGTTAAATGGGATGTAGTAGGGTTCAATGAAGCTAGGATGACACGTGAGGCTTATACAGTGCTGAAAAACGAACACGTTCTATGCTACTGTGGATTAGCTGAGATACTAGTCAAAAGCTTCTATTCCCAAACTGCTGCCATGTATGAGGGTCCTCAGGCACTTTCAAGTGATTTTTGTAACCGCTTTCGCCTGAGGGACCACAACTTGTTAGAAAAAAATGTTGTAAATACGTAAATAAACAAAAGAAATAGTGGAGGGGGGTCTTACACTCAAGAACATCACCGGCTACAAATAGGAATAACATAGCATCTGTGAGAGGGTGGCCACTATCATAATTGGGTTTAACAAAAGGTACAAGATGAAGCTCGTACAGGTCTACGCACCTACACCAAGCTATAATGATCACTTGCTTCGATGCTTATTGAGAACCCTAATAGGTAAAACTAGGTAAAAAATAATTAAAAATTCTGAGAAAAGTAATAGCTAATAGAATTATAGTGACATTTCACTTCGATCAACCAAAGAAGCCAGCAGAATTTTGTGCAGGCTACTCCACAATAGACCATATTCATACTATCAATCAGGTAATGGAGAAACACGCGCAATGGAATCAACCGCTATACATAGCCTTCGTAGATTATGAAAAAGCGTTTGACTCAGTCGAGACATCAGCAGTAATGCAGGCACTAAAAAATCAGGGCAATCGAAAAAACCTTACGTAAACATACTGGAAGAAATCTACAGTGAATCCACAGCCACCATAGCTCTCGTCAACGAAAACGGCACAATCCCGAAAAAAAAAGTTGTAAGGCAGAGAGACACAATTTTTCAAATGCTATGCACCGCGTGTTTACAATACGCTTTCGGGGGCTTCGATGGGAAGAGTTAGAAATAACAAATAATGCATATTATGTTAGTTACCTGTGATTCGCTGATGACATTGCCTTGATGAGTAACTCAGGGGACGAATCATGGCTCATCATTACTTAACTTAGCTGGGAAAGCCGAAAACTAGATCTCAAAATTTATACACACAAAGTTAAAGCAGTAAGCTGCAGTTCTCGGAAAAAAAAACTACACTGTGAGATAGGTGGAGAGACGCTGGAAGTTCTGAAGGATCAGTGGTAACTGCGGAGCCAAAGCGTTAGAATGAAATAACTAGAAGAATAAGGATAGTGTGGATTTACAATTGACAAGCTTTCTCAAATCATGAATGACAATGTGTCACAAACCCGAAGAGCAATGAATATAACTGCTGCATCTTGCCAGTACTTAACCACAAAGCAGAAACATGGAAGCTGCGAAAGAGGGTTCAGCTTAAATTGAGGGCGATGTAGTGAGCGATAGAAAGAAAAATATAGGTGTAACCTTAAGGAAAAAGAAGAGGGCACAGTGAATAAGGAATCAAACCAGGGTCAAGGAGAGCATAGTTGATATCAAGAAGAAACAGACACGAGTCCGGCACGTAGTACGTAAGCAGGATACCACTAGCCATTAAGGGTAACTGACTGCATTATCAAAGAAGGGAAACAAACGCATTAAGGGGAGACAGCAAAATAGGTTGGCCGATGAAATGAAAAAAAGTTTGCAGGTATGACGTAGCACAAGACTGGCTTGATTGGAGGACCATGAGAAAGGCTTTTGCGCTGCAGTGGGCGTAGCCAGGCTGATGATCACAGTGGCTAGTAACTCTTTATTGAATAGTTGGCATAAAATTCTGGCAATCCCTACAGCTCAACATTATGAGAAGGCGAAGCGGTCATCTTAACTTGATATCAACTTCCAAAGGTTTTTTTTTTATTACCGAACTTTAATGTTACGCTAGCATAAGGCACGCACGTCTGTCAACTTCGCCAGCCAAGTGCATTTTCGCAAGGCACGCACAATTATTCAGCAAAGGTCTTTCAAAACTTACTATTTTGCCAAAACAGCCAAACTTAAATTTATTCTGATAGTTGAGTGGCTGGACTACCTACTAAAAGAGAACTAGGTGCATGACAAACAAATTTGACATGCAAAAATCGGCGATAAAAGCATCAATTATCGATGTTTGATTAGAATTAGGTAACAAAATAGTTAAAAGGGCACAGCTCATTGAAACGTTCATTTTGCACCAGGGGGCGTCATGGCGCGCCTTGAAGTGACCGTCATAAATAGGTATGTGTCATGAAAATTGTGTCATGCTCTCACGGACCATCATAGTGTGTGCCACAAAAGTGTTTAAATTGCATGACTAGCCACACAACGACAAATGGCTTTTTGGCTTTTGCGCTGCTCTTTTGCAAAAAAAAAGCGTAGCATTTACGTATTCACCACGAAAACAAATGTATATTGATGTAACGAGCTTCTTTGTGTCTTGACTGGTATTTCTATGATTCCGCATTGGAATAATCTGATATATTTATCTAGTGTCATGAAATCCTAAATATCGACTTGTTACTGGATAAGCTTGGCAGGTGAAATCGGCATGTATGACCCTACTTCATAACACTAGGTCGGAAAGCCTGTTGTATTCATTACTTACGTAAGGGCTGAAGCGCCATCTGCTGGCGATCGATGTGCCTCTTTTGTTGGGCGGGGTCGAAGATCTCACCCCTGCACAGGGCGTTCAGGGTCTCCACCAGGAAGGGCCCACAAAACCGTGTGCGCTTCTCAATCAGCGATGAGGCCGTCAGCGCAAACAGTAGCAGCAGCAGCAGGCTGCATCCTGCCACACTGGCTGTTGACGGGGACGCCGAAGCCATGGCTGCATGCAAATCACCTTCCATTGCTTTCTCCCTATCTCTCTTGTAACAGGCACCCACGAAAAACTTGCGACAGCACCCCAATCTGTCACTTTCCCTGAATACGTTAACACTCGGAAGGCTTGGACAAGTTTTTAACATGAATGTATGGTCCTTCGAATTTCCAAGTGTTAGCATAATGATTAGCATGCTCAAAATGAAGTATGAAAGCTTGCTAGCGTTTATATAGTCCGAAATGTGCAACAATAGACGTGAGAGTTAAAGAAAAGAGGCATGGTTGTACCTGGGAAGAACAAGCGCTACATTTACGGAGAGGAGCTTTTCTGATACTTATTTACTTGTCCGCTAGTATGTGTAATTTCAATGCTAACCGAGGGGCATATTCTGTAAATTCTTACAAGTAAACCCGATTGAATTGTCTCGAGGCAAGAAAGACACAAGTAGTGACTATCCACGCAGACAAGCAGTACTCTACTTGTTCTAACCTCTGGCTTGCTTTGAGCGAGCATGGTTCCTTACCTAAAAGCTTTTTTTCGTTCAGCTAACCCCGACGTGTCTACTGAACATGGCCCATACACTCGAGTATAACGGGCAGGCAAGTGTTAAAAAATTAGAGAGGATCTAATGTGAAAGTGTTGCAAGCGATTCCGTACGCGAATCCAAAGGCGCATATTTGAATTATGGGACATGTTTCCAATACTTCTCGAATAATTGGCACTGACTTGAAAACATTAAGGCATAGTAAATCGTAAGAGAGAAGGATCATTTCGCTTCCTAAATGCAGATTTTTGAAAAATCAAGGGCGCTTTAAGCGTTTCTATCTATTTATCTATCTATCTATCTATCTGATATATATATATATATATATATATATATATATATATATATATATATATATATATATATTGTCATGACCAAGAAAGACGCTGGCGCTTCGGCACACAATTAGCTAGAGAAAAGAGAAGAACGAAGTCAGAATAAGAACAGCTGGCCCAGGATCGGGTGTTGTCTCTTGTTCTCTGTCTTGCTCATAACAATGGCGCAGTCCGAGAAGTGAACCCTCTTCAGGAAGTCACCGGTACGTGTCTTCGTGGTTCGTCGGCAGTGCGGGCTTCTCCAACCAGGAACGCCGTTTACGCTTCTTTGGCGATGGAGTCAACAACCCGGCCGTCGCTTCAGCTGCCCATCGGACCATCAGTGGACGGTGTCAATGCCTCCTCTGTGGTACCAGGGCACCACCCAATGGACACTATGCTACCACTTCGCGGCCGTAATACGCGCGGGCTCCTGTTCCTTGGGAATGCTGTTCAAGCTTCCCACGGCCTGCATTCCCTCTCCGGAACTCCTCCAACATACGAGCGGCCAAGAAACGCTATTCATGCTTCCTTGGACGTTCGTGTCACCGCCGTGAATCCAACTAGAACCACGTACTTCACGGACGCGAATCAAAGCGGTTAAGAAGCCTCGTGCGACAGTGCCGTGGAGCTGCGGCGTATTATCACACTGCTCCGCGCCGAGACTAACAAACTGACAGCGTTGATCGCCGAGCGAGCTCCTACAATGTTGCCAGCATTGTGTGACATTAACGCAGTGTTGGATGTAGCTGCCTCATACGACCTTGAGGCAAGCACACCGGAGCAACGCAGGGAGCTTCGGTCTTCTCTTATCGAGCTCTAACACCAGCTCGACTGCTTCGCGTTGGTGATCTCTGCGTTGCCACCTGCCACCTCACAATCACCAGCCGTCTGTGAACTACCGAAATTCCACGGGGTCCGGAACGACGCCGACAGCTGGGTGACAACCGTCAACGCGCTAGCAATGCGCGCGGCCTAGACAGAAAATCAGAAATGGACCGTGGCTGTAGACCGTCTTCAGGAAGGTGCAGCGGCGTGGCACCGGTATGAAGGTTTCAAGCAGCAGTCTTGAGTGGAGTGCAGCTCCAAGCTCATAGCTGCCTTCGGCCGGACACTCTCCGATCTCCCTTCCACCACCCAGTCGAACCTGACCGGCACCGAGGATAGAGTTCAAGAAGGGTTCCATCTCGATGCTCCAGCTGAGCACTCCAGTTCTCCACATGAGCTTCCAGACTCGTCGCTGGTACCGGACCCAAATTCGTGTCAGCCATCGGCCACCCCATCCTCTTTCGTGGGGAAAGATACAGAGGTGCACAGGGTAGCTGGACCCTTCGTCAACGCGCCCACTACCATATATCGAGCTCAAGTGGTGCGGCAGCTCGATGTCTCACCGCAGTCCTCCAGTCTGACAACAGGCAACAAGACCACCCACGAGCCTCAGAAATTGGCATCGCAGCCTGTCCAGAACGCCGACAGCCATGAATACCAGTGCCCCAAATTGTACCAACGTAATCGCCTGCTAAGCGTGCTGCGACCGCTACGAGATAGCCATGGTCACCGACCAGAGTGTTCGACAGCCCCGCAAGGCGAGTCATCGCGTACACGAGAGGGACCCCACAGATGCAGCCAATACTATGACAGCTTCACAGAATGTCCTGCCGCAGATGCCAAGACTGGCCGTGAATTATGTTTTCTGCCACACATCACAGGAGTTGCGTACCCACTCTCGACACCAGCCAAGGCACCTAGCGCGTCAATTGGGATATGCTTTCGGCAACCCTCGTCCGGCGTTTTACGTCAGCCCCTGATTTTGCGGCCCGTCCGAAGTGCGCTGTCAGATGAATCTTTAGCTGCTTCCCACAGAAAGTCTCTGCATAGCCGAGACCAACCACAACGATGCAGCCAGTCTCGACCTCCCGATAGACTTGTGGCAGACTATGGCACCGAGTTCCAGCGTGATCAAGGCCGACCTCCGAGATTCAGCCAGTATCGACCACCAGATCTACTTCTGGCAGATACCCGGACCAAATCACAGCATGGCCGAGAGCGTCGGCCGCAACGGGGCTGCCAGTGCCGTCCACCAGAGACGCTTTCCCCAGACCATCGCTCTATCTTGCATTGTGGTCCGGCCTGACCACCACGATGCAGCCAAGCCTGCCCACCAGAAACTTTGCCGCCAGCTCCGCTCGCGCGCAGCCATGATCGAGTGTCATGACCAAGAAAGACACTGGGGCTCCGGCGCGCGGATAGCTAGAGCAAGGAAGAGGAAGAAGAAGACAGAATAAAAACAGCTGGCCCAGGATCGGGTGTTGTCTCTTGTTCTCTGTCTCGCTCATCACAAATGCAGCCAAGCCCGCCTACCAGAAATTTTGCTGCCAGCTCCGCGCGCGCGCAGTCATGGCCGAGTGTCATGACCAAAAAAGACGCTGGCGCTTCGGCGCGCGGGTAGCTAGAGAAAAGAGAAAAGAAGGACGAAGTCAGAAAAAGAACAGCTGGCCCTGGAACGGGTGTTTTCTTGTTCTCTGTCTCGCTCATCACAATGGCGCAGTCGACGAAGAGGAAGTCTTACGTTCCGGCTTCGTCATACAGGACTACCGAGATAAGCGCCGCTTGAGGACGGCGTCAAGGCCTCTTCGGCAGCTGTTCACCTGCCGCTACTGCCACCACCGTTCGGGGACGGCGTCGTGACCTCCTCGGCGGCTGCAGTACACGTTAACGGTGCCATTTCACAAGAGACGCCGTCCACGCGTCCTTGGCTATGGATTCTGCCGTCAGCACAAGCCGACAAGTGAAGCCTCTGCGGGAAGTCACCCGTATGTGTCTTCGTGGTTTGTCGGCAGTGCGGGCTTCTCCATCCAGGAACGCCGTTCACGCTTCTTTGGCGATGGAATCAACAACCCGGCCTCCGCTTCAGCTGCCCATCGGACCATCAGTGGACGGTGTCCATGTCTCCTCTATGGCACCAGGGCATCCCCCAATGGACAATATGCTACCACTTCGCAGCCGTAATGCGCACGGGCTCCTGTCTCTTGGGAATGCTGATCAAGCTTCCCACGGCCTGCATTCCCTGTCCGGTACTCTTCCAACACATAAGCCGCCAAGAAACGCTGTTTATGCTTCCTTGGACGTGCGTGTCACCACCTTGAGTACTACTAGAACCACGGACCTCACGGACACGAACCAAAGTGGTTCAGAAGCCTCGTGCGACAGTGCCGTGGAGGTGCGGCGTACCATTGCACTGCTCCGCACCGAGACTAACGAACTGACAGCGTTGATCGCCGAGCGAGCTCCTACAATGTTGCCAGCATTGTATGACATTAACGCAGTGTTGAATGTAGCTGCCTCTTACGACCTTGAGGCAAGCACACCAGAGCAACGCAGGGAGCTTCGGTCTTCTCTCCTCGATCTCTCACACCAGCTCGAATTCTCTGCGTCGGTGATCTCTGCATTGCCACCTGCTACCCCACAATCACCAGCCGTCTGCGAACTACCGGCATTCCACGAGGTCCGGAACGACGCGGACAGCTGGGTGGAAACCGTCAACGCGCTAGCAATGCGTGCGGCCTCGACAGAGGATCAGAAATGGTATGGGACCATAGACCGTCTTCGGGAAGGTGCAGCGGCGTGACACCGGTATGAAGGCTGGAAGCAGCAGTCATTGGCAGAGTAGAGCTGCAAGCTCATAGCTGCTTTTGGTCGCAATCCTTACCACCTCTCCACCACCACCCCGTCCAACCTGGCCGGTATCGAGGAGCAAGGTCAAGAGGCTTTCCACCTCAAGGCTGCAGCTGTGCGCTGCAGCTTACCCCACGAGAAGTTAGACACTTTGTCAATACCAGAAGGAAGTTCACTGCGGCCAGAGGCCGCTAGCGAAGTCGGACCTCTTGAAGGGCGTTGCTCCAACGAAAGAGCCGCAGAGATTCATCTCGACTGTGCTGCATTGCCCTTCACTGACGCAACCCCATTCGCGCACTGAGCTGAAGTGGAGCAACACCTCGAAGGTTCCTCGAAGCCCTCCAGCCGCGCGGCAGTATGCTTCTCCGCCTGTACTACGAATGACGTCAGACGCATGTGAGACACGCCACTACTGCTCACAATACCCGCGCCGGTACGCAATGCCAACATGTCAATGGAAGCGGCTGATACCA